CTGCTGCTTTCGTCTGAACCAAGCCATAAGTCATTGGCACTGTGAGAAATGGTCTTTGCTCAGGCCTGGAGGAATGAGACTGAGTTGGGTGCCTTCCTCTCCCGAGGAGATCAGCAGTTCACAAGATACGAGGGTTCCAGAGCTGCATTGCCCTATCGATTCGCTGTGAAGGAAATTTTTTATTTTCACAGAGGAGTTGACAACAGCAGAACCATTAGCAGCATCTCCTTAGAGCCATCTGGCATCGATTTTTCCACTGTCTCCTGAAAGAGCATTCTCCAGAGCCTTACAGTGAAGAAAACAATTATTTTTCCCTTACCTCGGCAACCGCTGACCTAGAATCCCCTGATTTTTCTGTATTCACTTTAATAATACAGAGACAAGCTAGATGGGAGGGTCCTGCTATGCCGTGTCAAAGACCATTATTTCCGAGTCAGGCCTTATATGCGCCAGGGGCATGGTGGTTCAGTTTAGATTTTTTGTTTAGTTTTTACTCCTACAGTTTTTGTTTAATGGCAGAATTAATCTTTGATGAATGTTGATTTTATATTACTCTAACATAAACTTCATTCCATTTGAAGTCTTCTTGTCTTTTGGATTACTGCTACTCTACAGATCACCATTAATAACTTCAGTTTTCAACCAGCCTTTTTGTCTCTCCATTCTGATTTGGCAATGGAGTTCCAGATAATTCTCTAAAGCAAACCTAATAAAGCAATACTGTCATTACATCATCTGAGTTTGTTAGTTCATGTATTATGGTTAGCAACTGCACCTAAAAGTTAACTACAAGGCAAACTTAGAGCTGCTTATTTTTCTTTAAGTGGAATGATCTTTGATTAGACTCATATGTAAATTAAAAAATTAATAGCTTCAAATCTGACAGACTGCATTGCTGTGTTTCTGATCACAAAATTGCTCACTATATGCACATTGGCATTTTTAAAATTTTTATTTATTTTGAGAAAAAGAGAGAGAGAGAGCACAGGAGGGGCAGAGAGGAGAAAGAGAATCCCAAGCAGCCTCTGCACTGTCAGTGCAGAGCCTGATGTGGGGCTTGAATCCATGAACCATGAGATCATGACCTGAACCAAAACCAAGAGTCAGATGCTTAACTGACTGAGCCACCCAGGCACCCCTACGCATGTTGGAGTTTTAATAGCAGCTGGTTTTACATGCTGGAAGAGTAGCCAGTTTTATATTGGAATCAATAAGAGAAGAAAATGGCCAATACAGTTCAGTAGAAACATATACAATGTACACTAAAACACAATTGTGGCAAATTCTTAACACACTGTATCCAATTGCCCGGTGCCTTGAAGAAGGGTTTATGGATTTAAGTTCATTCCCTTTGAATGATCTTTTCTAAAATCTTGGATATTGTGCTTATAATAATGCTTATCACCAGTGATGACATGTTGTTTTGGTATATTGCACTTAAGTTGGAGAAATCCCACACTTTTAGTAATCCAGTGGAAGTATGAAACTAATAAGGTTAATCCAGCATCCACTGATTCATAACATCTGTTCCTCAGCAGTTTAGCTACTTGTAAAGGGACAGAGAGTGACCCCATGCAGCTATCACGCCCCCCCCCCCCCACCAACCTGGTGGGGCACCAGCTGTGAGAAGCTTTGGCATCTGGAGACTGCCTTGCCAGGTATCATCATCTCGCCTGGTCCGTGAGTGTGCACCTGATATCCACATGGACCATGTCTCTCCACCCTGTCCCACTTTTCCAATTGTTTATTTTATTTTTTTCTTAAAAAATTTTAATGTTTATTTATTTTTGAGAGACAGAGAGACAAAGCATGAGTGGGGGAGAGAAACAGAATCCAAAGCAGGCTCCAGGCTCTGAGCTGTCAGCACAGAGACCAATATAGGGCTTGAACCCACAAACTATGAGATCATGACCTGAGCCAAAGTCAGATGCTTAATTGACTGAGCCACCAAGGCGACCCCCACAGCCTACACCCCCGCTATGCTATTTTTTAAGAGAAGAAATTGATCTTTTAGCTTGAGGCACAGAAGAATAGCTCTTAACTCTAAGCTTCCCAGGAATTTCTGCATAAAATCTATACTCTAGTTGTTGCCACTCCAGATCATTGAAATTTAACCTCTATCATACTTTCTGTGTGTTTATTTCTCAATTGCCCTATGTTTCCAATTCTGAGGGCATCAGCTAGAAGTAAACAGTATGTTTGGCCTCTGTACATGCTTGCATTTTCCATTTGTAAAATCAGTAGAATAAAGTTTACATCAGCTTTACTCCAGGGACATCTTTAATAGTATAAGATACTTTAAGTTACCTATATTGTGTCTTAAAAAAATCAAGTCTGCCTGTTTTCACCAAGTCCTATGTTATTTTCTAGATTTAGGAATTTAGAAGTTAAACTTCTAACACATTAAAAAGAACAAGCAGCGAAAACAGAACAGACTGAGTCCTCCCTCTATATCTGATGGTAGGATGGAAAAAATTGGTGCTGTGGACCTGTATGTTTGCAGAGTGGTCAGAAGCACAGACTTTTAGGCGGCTGAAACAATATAGTTTCAAACTCTGGCTCTACTATATACAGATTGTTTGGCTTTGGGCCAGTTTCTCTCTGAGCTTAAATTTTGAAAGGAGGATAAGAAAGAAGTATTGTCGTAAACACTAAACTATATACACACATATGTATAGAAATGTTCATGTATATATACATGGTCTAATTGTTATAACACTGACACTTATGTACATGTCTATATACGTGTGTGTGTGTGTGTGTGTATACTGCATTAAACATTGTTCATGATATAATCAATCAAAATAGTATCTGTTGTTCCCTAATTATTATCTGCTAAGTTAAAGAGGCCTTCCATATGGGAACATATTTACATACACTCAGTATATACTGATATGTATGTCCAATGGCAAACTATTTATATAATTGTTGGTGTCATACAAAATCACAAAAAGATCGTATATTTGTATGCAAATGCATTGGGTGTAGAGATTACTTTAAAAAGCTGTAATAAAAAAATGAACTATTATTTACATCATTTATTGTTACTTACCTTTTCACCATTTGTGATCTTATTTCCCCAATAGATTATATACCCCAGTTCTTCCCAAGTACTTAGGAACTTTATTTTTCTTTTTTTTTTTAATTTTTAATGTTTTTATTTATTTTTGAAGGACAGAGGGAGGGGGTGGGGGGAGATGGAGCATGAGTGGAAAAGGGGCAGAGAGAGAAGGAGACAAGAATCCAAAGCAGGCTCCAGGCTCTGAGCTGTCAGCATAGAGACCGACTTGGGGCTTGAACTCACAAATTGTGAGATCATGACCTGAGCTGAAGTTGGACGCTTAATGGACAGAGCCACCCAGATGCCCCAGGAACTTAATTTTCGTTCAAATGTATCCATTTGAAATGTTGAAGGGTGCAATGCAAACACTTTTGCCTTGTTGGGAATGCTTACTTATCTGCAAAATGAGAAGATTAGGTCAGATGCTTCCTGTGACCCTTTCCCCTTCCAAACATACCATGACTTCACGGTCATTGAAGTAAAACACCCTGAAGGTGGATTTGGTTCAATCATTATGTAGTTGTGCTACCCGCTAAAAGTTACAGAAATATTTACTGAGTTATTCCTGGAGTAAACCACATGCCTTGAGGATATGCTGTAGTATGACTGTTCACAACTGCAGTAAAGAGCAACGGGGCAGGGTGGCATGCGAATAGCTGCCCCAGACATGCTACCTGGGAAACCTAGCAACTTCTGGGAGTGAGACAGGCCACTGGGGAAACTGAAGACAATACTCAGATTGGAAAAACCAGTTATGCTGAAACCAAGGCAGAAGATCCAGGCCCTTGGTTGATTGATCTCCTGATCTTTCATTTAGTAGAGCTTCATTTGTGATGATGTCCTTCTCCCTTTAAGAAAGGAATAGTCCCTCATTTTATCATCAAACAACACTTCAGATGGTGGAGGTCTGCTAAGCACTATTCAAGATCATTTCTCGGATATTTAGATTTCTGTAGAACACTATGACTCTTTATTACTTTCCATTGGTTAATGGATAGGAAGTTTTTAAATTGTCTTTGTAAATTCAGAACCATGTATGTTTCAGTGCCAGGATATTAACCAGTGTAATGTTGTTATTATTGAGAAAGCAGGGTCATGGTCATGGACAGATTAGGTTAGGAATGAAGGTAAGTGACTCTCTTCCCACCTGATATCCCTGCTGTTGTCAAAGTAACCAGAAGGGCCTGCTGCTTGCCCATTGTATAGAATCGTATTTCTCAAAGAATGGCCTATTGAACTCTGCATCAGAACCAGCTGGGCAAATGTCAAAAATGCAGCTTCTGGGGTGCCTGGCTGGCTCAGACGGTAGAGCATGCAATTCTTGACCTGGGCACTGTGAATTCCAGCCCCATATTGGGCGTGGAGGCTACTTTTTAAAAAAAATGCAGCTTCCGTAGCTCACCCTGGCCCATAAATTCAAATATCTTGGAATGGGACTATTTTAACAAGCTACTCAGGTGATTCTGATACTAGATAAAGTTAGACAACTCTTGACATAGAGTGACTTGTCAAAATTGCAGATACTGTCATGTCATTCTTCTACCTAAACTCTCAATTGGCTTCACAATATCACAAATCAACTTGAAAGTTTTTAACCTGCCAAATACATCTTTCATACATACAGCCTCTGCCCAGGTCTCTAGTTTTTTTCTCTCTCTACCACCTGCCCTGTGCTGAAAATTCCAACCAACAAGGAACTATTTGTAGATTCTCCGAACTTTCTTCTTTGTCTATACTCACTAGGTCCCTTCTTTCTGGAATGCTCTGCCATTCTTTCCTTCATTCTAGTTTCCCTCTATCTGGAAAGCTCTTTCTTTCCTCACCTCTTCATTATATCCCCCTGGGATAAGTTAGCACCGTTGCTCTTTTCCTGTCTACACATGGATCTTATATCAAATTATAAATGCAACACCACTTTTCTGTCCATCTTACCTAATAGGTCAAGAAAGTCCTTGAGGACCCAGGACAAATACGTCAGTGAGTTTGGTTACAAGCAACAAAACTCAACTGTGAGGAAATTAACCGAGAAAAAAAAGGAAGTATTGGTAAGATGCTGCATAGCTACAAGATATAAAGGAAGTGTATCAGCTTAGGAAGGACAGACACCAGAGAAGCTGCAGATCACAGCAACAGGAACTTCTACCCAGGCCAGGGGAGGCCCATGACCTAGAAAAAGCAAAGCCTATGATGGGCAGCCCCAACAAGTCATGTGGGATGATGAAGGAAAAATTCCACCAAACAAAGAGTATGTGGCGTAGTTACAGAAGAAGAGTGTGTGGTGCTGTTACCGAAGAAGAGTCTTGCTCCCAGTTGCGCCGCCCCTCATCCCCCGTGTCTGGTGCAGACCTCGACACACAATAGGCTCTTACTGAATGCTTGGAAAATGAATGATGTCAGAGAAAGAGAGAGAGAGAGAGAGAGAGAGAGCTAACACTACCTGCCAGACAGTGAGCAAGTGTTTCAATGTTATTGCAGTCAGTCTCTCGCAATTCTACAAGTACACATTATCTGTTTTTCAAATGAGGAAACTAAGACCAAAGAAGCAACGTGCCAAGGTCACTCAGTGAGCAAGTGAAAAAGCCTAGGATCTTGAAAATGTACTGTACTGCCTTTCTTCAGTGAGAAATATATAATGTTTTTCTCCATGAGAAGTGTACCTTATGTTGAGTTTCATTTTGTTTAATAACATCCCTTTCTTTAATAGAATCCCTTTTTAAGTAACAGTGTCTTAGCGATACTTTCATGTTATCCACAGTAGAGGAAGACCAGTATTGTATGAAGTTCATAGACATTAAGGACCGGATTTCTCAAGGGGTACTTGGATGGTTTAATCGGTTGAGTGTCTGGCTTCAGCTCAGGTCATGATCTCACAGTTCATGGGTTCAAGCCCTGCTTTAGGCTCTGTGCTGACAGCTCAGAGCCTGGAGTCTGCTTTGGATTCTGTGTTTCCCCTCTCTCTCTTTGCCCCCCCCCCCAACTTGTGCTCACTATTTCTCTCTCTCTCTTGCTCTCTCTCTCACTCTCAAAAATAAATAAACTGGAAAAAAAAAAAGGAACCAGATTTCTCGGGTTGGACTCCCAATTCTGCTTTTTACTGTAAGTGTGATCTACGGTAAGTTTTTAAGCTATCTGTACCTCTCTTTCTTGGAAGTAAGGATAATATTAGTTACCTATGTCCTAGGGCTATTATGAGGATTAAATTAGTTAACACATATAAAGTACTTAGATTAACATCTGATATATAGTTAAGTGCTATAACAAAATAACATTGCTTGTTCTTTTTTAACTATTGCTTTTCCTTCCATAGCACGTATGGACTATAATACATTTAATCATTCCTCTATGAATAGAAATTTTGTCGGTTGCAAAGTTTTGGTATTATAGATAATGCTACAAAGAGCATTCCTGATTGTGCCTCCTCATGCACATGTTTGTCCACATATTGGTTGAAGGAGTAGAATTGTTGAGTTAAAGGACATTTGTTTGTAAAAGGTACTAACTTTTACCTATTGCAATGGATATACACAGTAAAATATCAAACTGTGCAAAAGATCATATATTAAGAGTCTTTCTTCCCACTCCATGTGATATCAGAGATGTTGATTATAAGGCTTTTAAATTCCCTTTATACTAATTTATGCTTCTGATGCTAGCCAGGACCTAGAATCTGAATTGTGAATTCATTCTCTGGCTGACATCATCATCATCATCATCATCATCGTCACCTTTATAAGTTTGTTCAGAATCTTGCAAATGATATCTGATACTTCATTTTACCTAGCTTTCCATATTACATTTTCCTGCTTTATGTTACTTAATTTTGTCTTATTCTTTTTCTAAGATTCTTAGTGCTTCTTATTTTTATACAAGCCCCTTAGTGAAGAGCACGTAGATTTTTAAAATAAAAGATCTAGAATAAAAACACTGTTTTGTCACTTATTTGCGTTATGTGGCCTTTGTTAAATTCTCTGAGCCTATAAAATGGGAACAATAGTATCTACCTTAGGAGATTAGTATTGTTACATATATGAATATAAATATATGTGTCACTTCCTACATGTCAGGTACTTTACATCCATTATCTCTAACTCTTGAAGTAGTCACAACCAAGATAAGTTGGAAGGCAAATGCATCAGGCTATGAGAAAATCAAGGAGATAGTATGAAACGGATGTGGTGTAGAAAGTCACCAAACCAAGACCTGAACTTTGGGTTGGAGGAAGTTGAGAGTGGTGGGTATTGGCAGGAAGAGTTTAGACAGAGCCAAAAAAGCATGTGTAGAGGTCCTGAGGTTAGAGAAAACTTAGTTACTCAAGAATTGAAAGTAGAGAAGTTTAGGACCATGAAAAATAAGGGAGAGAGTGATAGCAGATGGGGCCAAAAATGATTATTTTGAATTCCCATCTTTCCTTTCTGGTTTTGGAGATTGCTTTGTGTAGACATGATTGTTGGAGCTATTCCTGCCATCTTTCTGCCCTGAGGAAGACACTGGGATGGCAAGAGGCTGGGGACTTGAGGAAATCACTGAACTACTGAGCCAACTCTGGAAGTGCTCACTTCTGGACTAATTTACCTTATTAGATAATAAATATCCTTATTGATTAAGGCAATTTTAGTTGACTATCCCGAAGGCATCTTAACTGATTATATTTAATGAAAGAGAAAGATCATGCAGGACTTTGTAGATCATATTAAAGATCTGGAGTTTAATTCTAAGGGTTATGGAGAGCCATTAAATGCCACTGGTGACTGGTGATGAAGCAACTTTTAGACAGATGGGAGTGGAGTGGTTCAGTTCAGAACCCAGGTTGGACCGGATAAAGAGAGGAAAATTAAGAAATGGAGACGTAGATGGTATAGAAGCAGGTCACGAAATTTGACCTTCAAGAGGACATAGGGCAGGAGCTGAGAGACATGTGGAATCAAGGGAGGGTTTGTTTTTCTCTTAAAGATAGGGATGGCTATCTTTCCTTTACCTCTATTATCCAATTCATTAGCAAACCCCTTTAGGTCTTTCTCTTAAATGTATTCTAAATCTGTCCACCTCTCACCTTCAACCCAGATAACTCACTGGTTTGAGCCACTGTCGTCCTCACTAGGATTAATTCAGTGGCCTCCAACTGTTTTCTCTGCTTCCATTTTTATTTTGTTCTTGTCTTTTTGAAACCACGAGGCAGTCATGGTAAATGAAATCATGGTTTTGAAATACAATCCAAACTCTTGGTCTTGGTTTATGAGATTGAGTATATATAATCTGACTCTTCTCCTATCTTCCCACATCCCATCTACCTCACTGTCCCCCTGTGCTCTGGCTCCACACCGCTTCTTTCTGCTCATTGTTCCTTTCTCACTCACTGGTCCCAGGGCTTAGCAAGCTTTTTCCTACATCTTTGAATGGCTGACTCCCTTTCATTATTCATGACTGATCAAATGACTTTTTTGCCTCATCCCAAAAGTTTTCTCTGACCTTCTTATCCTCCCCCATCCACATCTTCAGTCCTGTTTTACCCTATTCATGGCTCTTATCATCTGAAATAATCTTGTTCATTCATTTGTTGATTACTTATAGTTCTCATTAAAAGTAAAGTCTGGGGGAAACTGGGTAAAGTTTATGGGATTAAATATGTATTATTTATATCATTGCATGATATAGGTGTGTGTTATATATCACCATGTGTTATGTATAAATGATAAGCATGTGAATCTAATTATCTCAAAATAAATGTTTTTGGTTTTTTAAATTTTTTTTAATGTTTTTTATTTATTTCTAGGAGAGAGAGAGAGAGAGAGAGAGACAGCGTGAGCAGGGGAGGGTCAGAGACAGAGGGAGGCACAGACTGAAACAGGCTCCAGGCTCTGAGCTGGCAGTCAGCACAGAGCCCGACACGGGGCTCGAACCCACGAACCGCGAGATCATGACCTAAGCGAAAGTCGGACGCCTAACCGACTAAGCCACCCAGGCGCCCCTTTGGTTGTTTTTTTTTTTTTTTTTTAAGTAAGTTCTGTGAAAACTGGGATTTTGTTCCCTTGTTGGGAACTGTGTCGCCATCAGCAGAAGGAAGTATGGCATACAGTGGGCACTAAAGAAGTCTTATTAAATGTGTGACTTAATAAATGATAGATTTAGTCATGTCTAAAAGAGAATGGGGCGGAGTGTACCAACAATAGCAGGAGACCCTGAGCCAAGGAAACCGGGATGGCAGAACTTAGCACTAGAATCCTTATCTTCGAGTTGAGATTCGAATCCGCCTCATACTACCTCTCCATTAGTGGAGTGTTGATTAAATGACTGAAGCCCTGATTAACACTGTCTTAGGCGACACTCGCTCATATTCCGTCTTTGTAGCACATGGCGATTACAACAGCGCAGGCCAGATAGGACCATCACTTCACATGTGGGGTCTGGATCCCAAAAAGCATGGCTAGGCCCTCACTCTCTTCAACTTCCAAGAGTGGGTCAGGAGGCTGTTTACAACAGCCTGAAAGGCTCACCGCCCGCCGTGGTCCTGGGCTCTGCAGTTGAGGTTTCAGGTTTCAATTCTCCCGGGAGCACGAGAAGTCGCGGCGTGCTCCGTGCGGCTGCCGCCTCCGCCGCCGCCGGGTCTCTGCTAAGGCTGCGCTCGAAAGCGGATTCCGGGCGCGGCCGCGCACTCGCCTGCCCGGGACGGAGGTGGGGCGCCGTGGCTGCGGCTGCCGCTGAGCTGCTGTAGCTGGGCGCGCAGGGAGGCGGCGAGCACAGCTGGGCCGGGACTTCCTTCCTCTACCGCAGGACAACAAAACAACCCGGCAGCAGGCACCGAGCTCTTGGCAGCTGTCTGGGCGAGAGGCGCAGCGATGGGCTCCGTGCTTAGCAGCGATAGCGGCAAATCCGCCGCCGCCTCGGCCGCCCCGCGGGCCCTGGAGCGCAGGGGGGACCCGGAGCTGCCCGTCACGTCCTTCGACTGCTCCGTGTGCCTCGAGGTGTTGCACCAGCCCGTCCGGACCCGCTGCGGCCACGTGTAAGTGCGGGGGGAGCTCGACTCGCGCGCCCGCCCCTGGGGAGGGAGAGATGGGGGGAAGGCATGGGGGATTTCAGGAGCCAGCGCTTAAAGGTAGCTACTGCAGGGAGGCACCTGGACCTGTCGACTGCGGGCCGCGGGAAAAATGGACAGTCGGAAGGTGACACAGGATTGCAGGAGGCGAAAGCATTAACAAGCGGGCTGTGCAGCGCCTCCTCGCATCACCCCAGCTGTTTGTTCCCACAGCCCAGGTGCAGAGCCCCAGGGATGGGGACCCCAGGCGCGGGACCCGCCGGGAGCCGGGGCTTGCCCAGTGGGGAAGGTGAAATTGACTGGAGAGCCTGCACCCGCCTGGGCACAAGGCAGTGGGCTCCTGCAGAGCATGTCTCCCGCGGAGCTCAGTGAATCGGGCGGTGCTTCCCTCTCCCCGACCTCCCAGCCCCCCGGAACCCGGGTGGGTTTTGTTTTGCTGGCTTTGTGCACGTGTTCTAGAACGCCCACTGAGGCCAGCTTCGTGAGCAAACAAAGATCTGAACAACTATCTTTCCACCCCCACCTCCCTTTCCTAATACAGACACTCAGGCCTCTCAAAGATCAACCCAATCTGGAACGTCCAAGCGATTCTGTAGTCATAAGAGTTTAAGTACCTGTCAGGGCGGGCCTGGCTGGGACTTGAACGTTAGCACCGAGCCCTTGAGTGTAGCCGTTTAAACACCCAGCCGCAAAGTGACGGGAGCTTGCAGACTACCTCCCTTACGCAGCGCTTCCCTAAGTCGCCGGAAAGTATAGATAAAAATAACTGTCTTAAAAACCAGGTACCATGGAACTAAAACTTGCTGTTAGTTTCTAAGAAGAGTTTAAAAACAAAGTCACTATGTAAAATGGGCACGTCCTTACTGTGTGCTTGAGTAACTAGTAATGGGAGTCGGATCTGTGGGCTCGTTTACTGGTTACGCAGAAGCTTGCTTTCCGTGGCTGCCTGGGTGTGTGGCCGAGTGTGTGCCTGTTGGGATGGGGGTGGGGGGGGGGGTTGCATAGAGAGCGGAAGCTGGCTTAATGTCTTCTTTGGCCGGCCGTTTATAGTTTGATGAAGCGCCAAGGCAATACTGCAATGGCTAGTAAGTGTCTTTGGCTTACCAGGAAAAAAGTAGCATATTATAAATGCAAGTGCACAAGATGTTTTTAAAAGGGCTGAGGTGGTCCTTGACACCTACAGACTAGTAACCGAGAAGCAGTTTTCACCACCGAAAAGCCCTGTAGTGAGCCAAGAAAGAAAAATGCAGCCCACACAGTGTTTTAAATAAAGAGTGCCCTGGGCATTATTTTGTGGCTGTATTTTCAGGGCCTTTTGTTTCAGCTTTGTACTTTAAACTCAAGTCTAATTGACCTCCTGTCCGATTACTGATGTTGTTTCCCAGCCGTCCAGATATAGTTCATGGACATAAACCCGGAGGCGGAGATGGAAGCCAAGATATTGTTGTGTAACAGTGTAACATATCGATTAGTTCAGGGCAGTAATAACCTTGTAGTGATTACATTTAAATTTAGCCCGAATGAGAATTAAAACTTTAAAGTTGCACCAAAGATGCACAGTGGGCATCAAATCTTGAAGAGGCCTTTTGTAGAACTGAATTGGGTGACTTTACTATTGGAGATTGTTATCTGATTGGGGATTGTTTGCTCCCACCCCTCACCCCCCACCCCGTTGGGATTCTGAATACTATAACTTACTTTTTGCGGGGGTTGTGGCTCTGCTGAAGGATAATATAAATGTGTAAAAAGTTAAACCTTTTGTTAATCTTTTTCTTTGTTAGAGTTTGAATAGGAAACCAGCAACTGGAAAAATAGTCATGAAGTAGCACAACAAGAGCTGAAGGAATTGCCTTCCCTCACTTTACTGTTCTTTGTTTTGACAAATCTGTGTCCATTGTTCTGGCTGTGGGCAGAATTTCCATATTCCTCCTTTTGGCAAATTTACTTGGGCCCCTTCCGCTTTATAAATGTTAACTCCAATTCCTTCTGCACTGGAAACCGGTGAGTGGTATTAACACCATTTGTACTTCCTGAATGAATTACTCTCTTCCATTGACCTTCGATTGGAAAAATAAAGACATGCAGATGAAACCACTCTGTGTTAACCCAAATTGAAGCGAATCTCCAAACTTTTTGAACTTGTTTGTGTATGCTGATTTCTGTTTCTAAACTGATGTTATAGACGGCATCGGGGTGGCTCAGTCCCTTAAGCGTCCCACTCTTGATTTCCGCTCAGGTCTTGATCTCAGGGTCTTGAGTTCAAGCCCCACATTGGGCTCCATGCTGGGTGTGGAGCCTACTTAAAAAATAATAATAATAAATAAAATAAAATAAAATAAACCTATTTCAAGTCAAGCAAGTTATTAATATGGCAAAACTACATTGAATGAATATGTACATAGCACTCTATAAATCATATTGTGATGCAGTAGAAACACTGGGCTTGAGAGAGAGCAGGATTTGCAATTCAGCCCTGCCACTGACCAGCCGTGTGAAAAACATTCACCACGTTGCTGAATGTCTTTGACTCTCTTTCTTCATTTGTAAAATAGGGTGAATAATGGAATTTTTATGAATATTTAAAAAATGTAAAAGTAGCTCATGGTAAGGACTCAGTGCAGGATTTCTATTTCTTTTAAAGTCATTCCATAAAACAAAAACCCCCAAACAGTATTATTTCTTGTCTCCGTATTTCTTTTGGAATAAAACCGGGCCATAAAAGACAGATCTATGACATTTTCAAGATGTCCCAGATAGCTTTTCTTTTAGCTTAGTTCTTTTTCCTTTGGTGGCCTTGAATTTATTTATTTATTAAAATTTTTTTTTTTTTTTCTGAGAGAGAGCGTGAACAGGGGAGGGTCAGAGAGAGAGGGAGATACAGAATCTGAAGCAGGCTCCAGGCTCTGAGCTAGCTGTCAGCACAGAGCCCGACACGGGGCTTGAACACACAAACCGTGAGATCATGACCTGAGCCAAAGTCGGACGCTTAACCCACTGAGCCACCCAGGTGCCCTGGCCTTGAATTTAAGAAGTTCTGTTTTAATGTTCTGTCATTCCAAATTTACTTTATTCATATCTCTGTATCAGTTGTTAAAACATATTTGATGGAAGTGTTTCCTACCTTCTATTATGGGAGGGGAGAAGGAGTAGATAAGTTGAAGCTGTATAAAGGAAACTGAAAAGGAATCTGATTTATATTTAAAATAAGTATTCAAGGAAATTTGTTGACCAGCTGGATATGATAAAGGGGGAGAAAGGAGTGGAAGGCAATTCCTTAGTAAGATAAAAGGGGACAGAGTTCAGCTCAGGAGGTAGTTAATGAACTCGTGATGGGGCTTGTTGAGTCTACAGTGGTCTGAGAGGGAGATTTCCAAATGGAAATATCCCAAAAGCACTGGGAGAATGGGTTTGGGGAAGGGTCAGAGTTAAGGGAGTTATCTAAATGGATCAAGAGGTTGAGGGGCACCTGGGTGTCTTTGTTTAAGCGTCCGACTTCTTCAGCTCAGGTCATGATCTCCCAGCTCCTCTCATGGGTTCGAGCCCCACGTCGGAATGTATGCTGACCGCTCAGAGCCTGGAGCCCGCTTCGGATTCTGTGTCTTCCTCTCTTTTCTGCCCTTCCCCGTTCACACTCTGCCTCTCTTAAAAATAAATAAAACATTAAAAACAATAAATGAGAGGATCAAGAGGTTGAGAAAGAGCCTAACAAAGCTAATAGGTACAGACTGGAACATGCTATAAGGTCCAAAGAGCCACATCTTCATTGAACTGAGTTGGATTAAATTGCTCTAAGTCACCGAATTTGTTTACTTTTTAAAATGAAATCGTTGAGGATAATTCTGATGTGCTTTCAGGTAAGTGGGTTAAAACTTCCCACTGTGGTCAAGTATGAGCAGGACAGCCCACACCAACCTGGTAATGTTCTAAGTAGAGTCAGAGAGTTTTCTGATGAGTTTTAAAGTGACCTAGAAATATACATCAGTGCTTTCATTCTTTTTTTAAAATTTAGCCCCTGTTTTATTTTTTATTAAAAATTTTTATTAAGGTATAATTAACATAATATATTACTTTCAGGTGTTCAACATAATGATTCAATATTTACATATATTGGAAAATGAACACCATAAAAAGTCTCATTAACATCGGTCATCATACAAGGTTACAGATTTTTTTCTTGTGTTGAGAAATTTAAGGTCTATTGTCTTAGTGATGTTCCAGTGTACAGTACAGTATTAACTATAGCCACCATGCTGTACATTAAAGCCCCACGACTTATTTATTTTATAGCTGGAAGTTTGTACCTTATGACCCACCCGTTTCGCCATCCCTTTCATTGTTACAGGAGATGTGCAATCTCAAAAACTTTTTTAATATCATGTTATTTTATTTTTTTAATGTTTATTTTTGAGAGAGAGAGAGAGAGTAAGAGAGAAACACAGAGCATGAGTTGTGAGTGGGGGAGGGTCAGAGAGAGAAGAAGACACAGAATCCAAAGTGGGCTCCAGGCTCTGAGCTGTCAATGCAGAGCCCAGCAAGGGTCTTGAACTCACAAACCATGAGATGATGACCTTAGCTAAAGTCAGATGCTTAACCAACTGAGCCACCGAGGCATCCCCCAAAAACTTATTTTTTAACTATCTTATTGTTATTACACATATTTATTACCTACTTATACATTTATTATCTAGTGAGGGTTCTCCAGAGAAACAACCAATAGTATATATATGTGTGCATGAGAAAGACTGATTTTGAGGAATTGCTTTACATCATTGAGGATAATCTCTTTTAAAGTCAGCTGATTATAGATGTTGACCACACCTACAAAACACCTGCACTGTAACACTTGGTTGTTTGATTGAATAACTGAATCCTATAGCCTTATCCAAGTTGACACGTAAGACCAACCATCACATCTATCAACTGAATTTTTAAGGGTTATTAAAATCTGGTTATCAAAAACAAAAATT